ACTGGTCCCCGCAAGAGACATCGGCGTTTGGAGCTGCGGCTGCCCTGCGCCTGTCTCACCCCTGCGCCAGGCAGCGGGCCAGGGCCCTGACGGGGCCGCGCGGTTTGTGCTGCGTCCCTGGAGGTCCCTCTGGGCTGCAGGAGCCCTGGCTGCCTTCGCAGGAGCAGCCTCCTGCCTCCAGAGCGGGGCAGCGAGCCATGGAAACGCCCAGACACAGCTGCAGTTAAGCAATTGCTTTCTCGCCCAAGCCAGAGATTTGCAGAGACACGGGACCCTGCGCGGAGCCGGCGCTCAGAGCCCTCACCTCTGCCTACGTGCTGGGCCATGCCATGTGCCAGGGGAGCGTTGAGAGACATGCCACATGGCACGTGAGTGTCCGGGGGCAACGCTGCATGGCAGAGAGAATGGGGGAGCGAAAGGGGGCTGTGCCACGCAGGCGGGGGGGAGGGGTCCAGGGAAGAGCCACACGGTGGGGGAAAGGCTGTGCCCGCAGGCACAAGGCTGCCTAGCCATTGGCAGCCTGAAACGGGTCCATCTCATTCAGATACAGCCTTTGTGGCACCTGGAGGGCCAGATGGGAGGGGCCAATCAGAGCTGCTGGGAACCTGGCTGGCTCTTGTGAACGGCACCACATGCTGCATGGTGCCGGGGCGCAGTGGGCATGACACCACACGCCGTAAGGCGGAGACGGCCCTTGCATTGCACTGTACGGTGCAGGGGAGACTTGCACGCACCGGGTCGTGTGTGGGTGCAGGTGGGCACCCACTGCACCGTGTGACTAGCACAGACTCAATGCTGAAGATGGGAGGGGGCAGGGAGACGCGGGCACCAAGCGGAAAGATGTTTGCACCCCCATGCCTCCTTCCTGCCCCTTGACTCCGTCACACCCCTGGGCCCACCGATCCCCAGTGGGGCGGGACCGGCTCTTACCCTGCAGTGCCCCAGTTCTTCAGGCTGGCATTTTCAAGGGGGCCCGAGAATTCCAAGTGCCCGAATGTCCCCCAGCCCCTGGGATTTTACTAAATTCCAGCCCACCCAGGGTGCAGCCCTGGCTAGCACAGCTGCTTTGGTGGGGGCTTCCTGGCATACCGCTAGGGCGCTGGCTGCCCCCGCTGGCAGTCTCATGTGAGTTTCCCCAAAGATGCCTGGAACTGCTCCCCCCAGCCCGGT